ATAATATAGGACATGTACTAAATAATAGCAGGAGCAGGGATAAATAGTGCAGGATAATATAGGACATGTACTAAATAGTGCAGGATAATATAGGACATGTACTAAATAGTGCAGGATAGGAATATAGGACATAGGACATGTACTAAATAGTGCAGGATAATATAGGACATGTACTAAATAGTGCAGGATAATATAGGACATGTACTAAATAGTGCAGGATAACATAGGACATGTACTAAATAGTGCAGGATAATATAGGACATGTACTAAATAGAGGACAATATAGGACCTGTACTAAATAGTGCAGGCAGGATAATACCTGTACTAAATAGTGCAGGATAACATAGGGACATGTACTAAAAGTGCAGGATAATATAGACATGTACAGGATAATATAGGACATGTACTAAATATAGGACATGTATGTACTAAATAGTGCAGGATAATATAGGACATGTACTAAATAGAGCAGGATAATATAGGACCTGTACTAAATAGTGCAGGATAACATAGGACATGTACTAAATAGTGCAGGATAATATAGGACATGTACTAAATAGAGCAGGATAATATAGGACATGTACTAAATAGTGCAGGATAACATAGGACATGTACTAAATAGTGCAGGATAATATAGGACATGTACTAAATAGAGCAGGATAATATAGGACATGTACTAAATAGAGCAGGATAATATAGGACATGTACTAAATAGTGCAGGATAACATAGGACATGTACTAAACAGTAAAGGACAACATAAGGCCTTTATTAAACAACTATATAGGACCTGCATAAAACAGCCCAGGAGAATGTTTTGCTTAGCCTTGGCATTCAAGTCTGTTCAGCATTAAATCCCCTCACAACAGGCTTGCATCACTTCTCCTACACAATGAGCGATTATTACATATTAAATGTTTCCAAGCTGCAACTTGCAGACAAGAAGAAAAGCAACATGACAGTATGTGCTACGGTTAATTCAACAGCAAACTGAATCTGGACCGAGGAGAAAGAAATAACTGTTAATGATCTGCCAACCAGCTTTCTGTGAGCTGCTGTACCTTTTCACAATAGCCTTCACAATCAGCATGATTGATCTAAACAACCACTTGCTATGAAATAGTTCTGGATCAAATAAAACTTCTGCCTGAGAAAGAACTGTTTGATTGGGGTTGGATCGATAGATTGTGTGGACCTGACTGATACTCAATAAAAACACATGATCGGTAGATTGTGTGACTTGACTGATACTCAATAAAAAGACGTGATACCTTGTAGTTGGGTCAATCTAAACTTCTACCAAAGGGAGACAACTCATCTGGATCATGTAATATGCAAGGGAGATAACTGGTCTGGCTTATGTATGACAGTAGTCCACTCGGTAATATATCTATAAATATACAGCCTTGATAGCAACTTCATGAACAAACTGTTCAATGTGAATGCTACAAGAACAAATGTGTAATCAGCTTAATATCCAAGTTCTAATGAAGCAATAGTACAAGGGACTGGTTTGTTTGTCACGTGATGCTGTAGACTGATATCATTCTTCGGCAAACTGATTACATTTATAAGCAAATTCAGGACAGAAGTTCAAGTTGATCTTCGTCTCCCGGGAAACAAGTAACCTGATTGTCGGACCATCAGAACTTGATTCCTTCTCTGTGATAACAACTTGATTCAACCATTAATAATAAACTCTACAACTGAGCTTTAAAAAAAAATGATAAAATGATTTTCATGGCCAGATGATGAGCAACATATTGCCAAGCCCTGTGGAGTATCTGTATGTTTTGGGTGTTTTATGCATTTTGATATCTTTTGAGACAAGCAATTCTCTCTAATATTCTCTTTCAACTGTCATTTCATTCTGAACTCATCACTTGGGATATAATATCATGAGAATTGCTCAACAAACAGTTGCTTTTGTAACTTTAGTTTTTGTGAAAGCTTTTGTCAGATGGTAACTTATTATTTCTGGAAAAAATATCAAAATTATTTCCATGGAAAACAAGTGTATTTCCTGCATAAGATGATGATGTAGGTAGGTGATAAAAGAATCTCTTGAAGAATCAAGCTAACATTCTGGGTTTGAATCTCAATATGGGTGTAATAGTTGCAGTGCATGCTTAGTCTCCCCTTTTGTCATATTGGGCAATACTGATAAAGAGGAACTGAACTGCCACTAAGACTTGAGTGAGTGAGTGAGTTTAGGTTTATGCCGCACTCAGCAATATTCCTGCTATATGGCAGCTGTCTATAAATAAAAATCGAGTCTGGATCAGACAATCCAGTGATCTACAGCACGAGCATCGATTTGCACAATTGGGAATCGATGACATGTGTCAACCAAGCCAGTGAGCCTTACCACCCGATCCCATTAGTCGCCTCTTACGACAAGCATGGGTTATCGAAGGCCAATACTAGTATTCTAACCCAGACCTTCACGGGTCTACTAACACTTGAAGCTTATTATCAGTTAATATACTATATTTCCCTATTCATGACATACATCTTGTTTCAACTAAATGTGATGTCCACGATGCATAGAACTCAAAGCAACAAGAACACAGCATATGGTACTCATCGAAAGCTGGCAACCATGACCTTCTACTGATAAAAAATGGTTGTCATTAATTGGGCTGGCTATAAAGATAAGTAACAAGGAATGTTGATAGGGAGAATTATTAACACTTATCCATATGAAAATTAGGAACAAAATGTTTACTTACACACAAAAGTTAAGTCTTTATTCATGGTCTGCCTCCAAACTATGTTCAGAATGTTGATTTGTGAGTCATCCTTGCATACATGTGTCACCACTCACCAGTGAAGTGAAATATATTGAGTATGTAGGGACTGCATTTTTGTTATTTCTCTGATGTTTATTGATAATTAGTTATCAATCGATAGCCAGTCCTCACAGTTAGTCATCGTACATTGGTATACAAAAGCATATATGTAGTCAATATAGCTGGGATAACTGCATGTCACTTTTCCACGAGGGCAAGGATAAAGCTGGAATATTGGTGACTGCATGTCACCTTGCCCTGATGGCAAGGATAAAGCTGGAATATTGGTGACTGCATGTCACCTTGCCCTGATGGCAAGGATAAAGCTGGAATATTGGTGACTGCATGTCACCTTGCCCTGATGGCATGGATAAAGCTGGAATATTGGTGACTGCATGTCACCTTGCCCTGATGGCAAGGATAAAGCTGGAATATTGGTGACTGCATGTCACCTTGCCCTGATGGCAAGGATAAAGCTGGAATATTGGTGACTGCATGACTGCATGTCACCTTGCCCTGATGGCAAGGATAAAGCTGGAATATTGGTGACTGCATGTCACCTTGCCCTGATGGCAAGGATAAAGCTGGAATATTGGTGACTGCATGTCACCTTGCCCTGATGGCTAGGATAAAGCTGGAATATTGGTGACTGCATGTCACCTTGCCCTGATGGCAAGGATAAAGCTGGAATATTGGTGACTGCATGTCACCTTGCCCTGATGGCAAGGATAAAGCTGGAATATTGGTGACTGCATGTCACCTTGCCCTGATGGCTAGGATAAAGCTGGAATATTGGTGACTGCATGTCACCTTGCCCTGATGGCTAGGATAAAGCTGGAATATTGGTGACTGCATGTTACCTTGCCCCTGATGGCAAGGATAAAGCTGGAATATTGGTGACTGCATGTCACTTTGCCCTGATGGCAAGGATAAAGCTGGAATATTGGTGACTGCATGTCACCTTGCCCGCCTTGCCCTGATGGCAAGGATAAAGCTGGAATATTGGTGACTGCATGTCACCTTGCCCTGATGGCAAGGATAAAGCTGGAATATTGGTGACTGCATGTCGCCTTGCCCTGATGGCAAGGATAAAGCTGGAATATTGGTGACTACATGTCACCTTGCCCTGATGGCAAGGATAAAGCTGGAATATTGGTGACTGCATGTCACCTTGCCCTGATGGCAAGGATAAAGCTGGAATATTGGTGACTGCATGTCACCTTGCCCTGATGGCAAGGATAAAGTTGGAATATTGGTGACTGCATGTCACCTTGCCCTGATGGCAAGGATAAAGCTGGAATAATGGTGACTACATGTCACCTTGCCCTGACGGCAAGGATAAAGGTGGAATATTGGTGACTGCATGTCACCTTGCCCTGATGGCAAGGATAAAGCTGGAATAATGGTGACTACATGTCACCTTGCCCTGACTGCATGTCTGATGGTAAAGGACATAGTTTGAATATTTTTGGATAGCAACAACATCTAATGACATTTTCTTTTCCCTTTCAACTCAAGCCACTTTCAAACACTTCCTGAGGACCAATATTTTTCATTTTGTTCAGCACACACATCATTTACACCAGTGGGAAATCTGCAGGGGTTGCAATTCAAGAAGTGAAAGACCATAAAGTGAAAATTGCTTCCTGTTCTGCATATAAAAGAAAACAGTCTCCATTTGTCAGATGTGGTCTGTTATTTCAACAGCTGATTGAGAGATAAATGAATTGTTATTCACAAAATATGCTGCCACTGGCTCTTGATGAAACATAACACAAGACAGAGCAGTTCCAAATTTGATTGAAATCCCAACCCATGATTATTTCCCGCTCAATCGAGCAGTGGTTTCTTCTAACCCAGCACAGTTGGCATATGTTCGGAATCCTGAATCGAAAACCTGACACATACTTTGTATTCTTAGAGCCGACACAATCAAATCTTGACGCTGAGATACTCCACTGATGATGTAACTCTGGTCACGTGACCTCGTAATTGGTTTGTGGTTTTTGGATGACTGGGTGTGCAAGTGCAAGACATTGTTTCACTGTATCCTGTATACTGTCTGGTTCAGATTGCAAATAGTAGCAGATTTTATATACCAGCATCAGCAACTGGAAAGAGAACTGTCAACACGTGAGTGTTGTAAGTGGAGCGAAACATTGCTTCCTGTCACTAAGCTGGGACACGAAGCAGTGAGAAGAGGCACTAACCTTTGAGGGTAACCATCTGGGCGATTGGTTATTCATGAGGTGCTGTCCGAATCTGGGAGGGAGAGGCCTGGGAGGGTGAGGAACAAACAGCAATATCTTGATAGCGTGCAATGTGTTTATCTCAGGGCATCCCTGTCAGACCAACACAACTAATCAATGTTCACTACGTTCCTCATCTCATTCAGCCTGCTCTCTGCTCCACTACGGATGAGGCATGAGAGAATCACAGCCAGTGAGCTGGAGGAAGGGGTGTTGGGTGGGTGATGGGAGGAATGGAAAGGAGGGTGTTAGGATTTGTGCATTATGTTCAGTGTTCACTGCCTTCCCGATCTCTTATAGCCTCTTCTCAGCTCTGATATGGATGGGGTATGGGAATCAGCCTGGAGGAAGGGGTGTTGGATGGATGATCAGAGGAATGGAAAGGAGGGTGTTAGGATTTGTGCATTACGCTCAGCCTGATCTCATATAGCCTCTTCTCAGCTCGGATATGGAAGGGGTGAATCAGCCTGGAAGAAGGGGTGTGGGGTGATGGGAGAGGAATGGAAAGGAGGGTGTTAGGATTTGTCGCATTATGTTCAGTGTTCACTGCCTTCCCGATCTCATATAGCCTCTTCTCAGCTCCGATATGGATGGGGTATGGGAATCAGCCTGGAGGAGGGGTGTTGGGTGGGAGTGATGGGAGGAATGGAAAGGAGGGTGTTAGAAAGAGTGTGTGATGTTCAATGTTCACTGCTTTCACATTCTGCCTGTTCCACGATGAATGAGGTGTGTGAGAATAGTGGAACTGGCACAGCCAGACAGCTGGTGGAACGGGTGGAGAGTTGAATCAAGGTAGTGCAGATCAAGATATTGGGGTATGGGAGTATTGGAAGGGGTGGGAGGTGAGGAGGTTGTGTAGTGCAGATGTCCAAATGGTAGTGTCAGGGATTGTTGGGTGGAGGGGTGTAATGATTAAGTTGTATGGAGTAAAATGTCCTGATGGAATCATTTTGGGGTGGTCGGAGGGGTTCAAATTTGGTTGAAGTGGGGTGTAAGAAGGAGTCCAAATGTGGCTGTTTTGGGTGTTAGGTGGAGGGTCCTGATGGACCATTAAGGGGTGTTAGGAAGTGGGGGTTAGAAGGAAGGTCCTGATTTAGTCATTGTGGAGTTAGGAGAGTTGTCTGCCTGTGATTGGCATGGATGTGTGCGGGAAGGGGTTGGGGTGTATGTTATGTCTTTGTTGGAACACATGTCAGGGTACCTGTTGGAATGTGAGTCAGAGTACTTGTTGGAATGTGAGTCAGACTACCTGTTGGAATGTGAGTCAGAGTACCCGTTTGAATGTGAGTCAGAGTACCCGTTGGAATATGAGCCAGAGTACCCGTTGGAATGTGAGCCAGAGTACCCATTGGAATGTGAGTCAGAGTACCCGTTGGAATGTGAGTCAGAGTGCCCATTGGAATGTGAGTCAGAGTACCCATTGGAATGTGAGTCAGAGTACCTGTTGCAATGTGAGTCAGAGTGCCCATTGGAATGTGAGTCAGAGAGTGACAGAGTACCTGTTGCAATGTGATTGGAATGAGTGAGTCATTGGAATGTGAGTCAGAGTACCTGTTGGAATGTGAGTCAGAGTACCTGTTGCAATGTGAGTCAGAGTACCTGTTGGAATGTGAGTCAGAGTACCTGTTGGAATGTGAGTCAGAGTACCTGTTGGAATGTGAGTCAGAGTACCTGTTGGAATGTGAGTCAGAGTACCTGTTGGAATGTGAGTCAGAGTACCTGTTTGAATGTGAGTCAGAGTACCTGTTGGAATGTGAGTCAGAGTACCTGTTGGAATGTGAGTCAGAGTACCTGTTGGAATGTGAGTCAGAGTACCTGTTGGAATGTGAGTCAGAGTACCTGTTGGAATGTGAGTCAGAGTACCTGTTGGAATGTGAGTCAGAGTACCTGTTGGAATGTGAGTCAGTACCTGTTGGAATGTGAGTCAGAGTACCTGTTGGAATGTGAGTCAGAGTACCTGTTGGGAGGGTTTGGAGCATGAGTTGGGATGTTCCCATATGTGCAATGTTTATAACAATGCTTCCAAAATCTACAATGTAACCTCGTTATCCCAATAGTCTTTCTAAATAATCCAGTTGATTAAACATCTAGATATTGGGTCTGACAGGAAGTGGTATTCAAACATTAATCTCTGCTCTAATCGACACTGATTGATAATCAAGGTTCACTTATATCAGTATGATTAAGTCTTCAGAAGTCTTCATGACAGGAGAATGCCCACTCCTTATGCAGGGCACCAAGATCACCTAAATAAACATCACTCTCCATTTTGTGAGGGTCAAGTGAACCAGTTAAATGTCATTTTGGTAACTAAACATGGCTTACCTTATCTAGAAGTTTGATTTCCGGAACAAAATTAATGGATTAAAGTAGGTACATGCTGGATGAATATCATGTGCAAGATGGGATTTTTACATAGCTAGTCAGTGTTAAGAACTAATTCTTATTTTAATGAGTCAGCAACAATCTGACTGCTAACTTTTACCATCTCGCAAATGGAAAAAGTCAATCGAGGAAGTCCACTGGGTCATGTCACTTTCAAGTCAGTCCTGAAGTGTATTCGTCGCAGGCAAGCTGACTTGAGGTACTTTTGAATTAGTTGGGGAAAACTAAACCAGAACTTGACTAATGTTGTAGGTGATTTGTGTCATCACATGGGAGATTTGGGGTGATAGCCTTGTGGTTGAAGCATGGGGTAGCCTAGTGGTTGAAGCATGGGATAGCTAAGTGGTTGAAGCATGGGGTAGCCTAAAGTACTGTCGGAAATGCTAGAAAAATGCTTTTTGACTTATATTTAAAATTCAGAGGTATTACAGTTACTTAAATAACAAATATCACTTCAAGAAACATCTACCTAATGTAGACCGAGGGAATAAATTTTGAGACATGCTCTAAAATGTGTTTTTACTGATGAAAATACCAAAAACTTAGAAAAATAAGGGTTAGTTGGACATTATTTGAAACAAACATTAACTGCCTGTGTTATGTCATCAGCATGCACGGTATCGACAGGTGAAATTGACACCTGAGCACACGCTCGGGCGAGGGGTCATCTCAATAGATGTTTTCTGCAAAATGTTGAATATGTGTATGTATAATATACGTATTGGTTATGTAAGGGATCATTTGTGTATGTGTGTTTGTTGTGAAATAAACATACAAATTACTGTACATTGGAAAGAATCCTATCACTTGTGTTATCTTATCAATTGATTGTAGAAATGTGCAACGTTTAAATAAATGTTTTGCATGTCAACAGTATATTTCATTGAAAAAATATGGATGTAATTCGGTCAGTTTAATCTAGTTGTGAACATTGGCCAAAGATTTAACGAAGTCACTGGTGTAGCTTCTTTAGAATATATATATTTTTCTTCTCATAAAGTTTGTAGACCCTGCCTAAGCACTCCCTTGTCAAAGTTGTCAAGGATGGTTTTACGTCCCGGTTTTGCATTTGAGACGGTCCCTGTCTTGTCTGATTTGTTTACAATATTGTAAACTTGTTGGTAAGACATGCCAACAGCTCTACAAGTTCTGTAATAAACCCTTTCTAAACTAATGAAAGTTGTACCTCTGTCTTTTTTAAGCAGAAAAACCTATAAACCTTTGCAACAATCGACTGCAAATCGTTGGCCATAGTGGACGCTGTGATAAAGATGTGCATGCATGACGGGAAACTTATTTATCAAGACTTAACATTTATATTAATATTTCTTCCATAAAGAAAACGATAATTAAGTAAAGCAACACAAACATTCCACATTTATTTGTTTAGGAAAAACGTTAATTTATATTTTTTCACCACCTGTATTATTAGCATAAACGTAAAGACTATTTCAGATTTCTGTTGTTGAACTCTGAAAAATCTTAAGTTGCTGTTTTGGTACCAAATTCTCTCCTGTAAACTGCCCTTTAAATGCATGGGAATGTTAAATCGATTGAAATAAAAATTAGGTAGACAATAGGCGAGTTGATATATTGACAACATAGTACATTTATCACCTTTATAAAGATATTAAGGCTAAAAAGCATTTTTCTAGCATTTCCGACAGTACTTTAGTGGTTGAAGCATGGGGTAGCTTAGTGGTTGAAGCATGGGGTAGCCTAGTGGTTGAAGCATGGGGTAGCCTAGTGGTTGAAGCATGGGGTAGCCTAGTGGTTGAACCATGGGGTAGCCTAGTGGTTGAAGCATGGGGTAACCTAGTTGTTGATGCATGGGATAGCTTAGTGGTTGAAGAACAGGGTAGCCTAGTGGTTGAAGCATGGGGTAGCCTAGTTGTTGAAGCATGGGGTAGCCTAGTTGTTGTTAAAGCATGGGGTAGCCTAGTGGTTAAAGCATGGGGTAGCCTTGTGGTTGAAGCATGGGGTAGCCTTGTGGTTGAAGCATGGGGTAGCCTAGTTGTTGAAGCATGGGGTAGCCTAATGGTTGAAATATAGGGTAGCCTAGTGGTTGAAATATGGGCTAGCCTAGTTGTTGAAGCATGGGGTAGCCTTGTGGTTGACGCATGGGGTAGCCTAGTGGTTGAAATATGGAATAGCCTAGTGGTTGAAGCATGGGACAGCTTAGTGGTTGAAGCATGGGGAAAACCCTTAGCGAATGAAACCCTTACTTGTTCTCCTGAACAAACAGGTTCATTTCCCCACAAAGATACAAGTTTCAAACCCTATTTTTGCACCGGTGTGATAATGCTGGAATATTGCCAACTTCTTCATGTGGGTGATGGGTGATTGTTCCAAAAGAAAATCCATCTCAAGGATGACACAAGATAAAAAAACAGTCTTGTGAGTGAGCTATGGATTTTGTGAAAATGAACAACATTTCAGTTCCATCACTGCCTGTCAGCTTAACTTGTTTTTGGAAAAGGCCCAACGTCACCCAGGTCATTAAAGAGTGCAATATTTGTGAAACCTAAAGTAATGCATATTATACTTGTTGACTGATCGAGCGAAAGACATTGTGCCAAGCTGGATTAAAACTTAAAGGCACAATGTCACATCACACTTCTCTAAAAGTACATAATGCATTTCTCTCAATAATACTAACTATCAGCCTTCAGGTAAGCAACCATATCATCTATTCCCCCC